GGTGTCCAACAGGCCGGATTGGTGTCCAACACTGCGGACAGGTGTCCAACAGGCCGGACAGGTGTCCGACAGGCCGGACAGGTGTCCGACAGGCCGGACAGGTGTCCGACAGGCCGGACTGGAGTCCGACACGCCGAACTGGTGTCCAACACTCCGGACAGGTGTCCAACACGTCGGACAGGTGTCCAACACGCCGGACTGGAGTCCCAACACGCCGGACTGGAGTCCCAACAGGCCGGACAGGTGTACAACAGGCCGGACAGGTGTCCAACACTCCGGACTGGTGTCCAACACTCCGGACTGGTGTCCAACAGGCCGGACTGGTGTCCAACAGGCCGGACTGGTGTCCCAACAGGCCGGACTGGTGTCCAACACTCCGGACAGGTGTCCGACAGGCCGGACAGGTGTCCGACAGGCCGGACTGGTGTCCAACAGGCCGGACAGGTGTCCGACAGGCCGGACAGGAGTCCGACAGGCCGGACTGGTGTCCGACAGGCCGGACTGGTGTCCGACAGGCCGGACTGGTGTCCGACAGGCCAAACTGGTGTCCAACACGCCGGACTGGTGTCCAACACGCCGGACTAGTGTCCAACAGGCCGGACAGGTGTTCAACAGGCCGGACAGGTGTCCAACACTCCGGACTGGTGTCCAACACTCCAGACTGGTGTCCAAAAGGCCGGACAGGTGTCCAAAAGGCTGGACTGGTGTCCAAAAGGCCGGACTGGTGTCCAAAAGGCCGGACAGGGGTCCAACACGCCGGACTGGTGTCCAACATGCCGGACTGGTGTCCAACACGCCGGACTGGTGTCCAAGAGGCCGGACTGGTGTCCAACAGGCCGGACTGGTGTCCAACACGCCGGACTCGTGTCCAACAGGCCGGACAGTTGTCCAACAGGCCGGACAGTTGTCCAACAGGCCGGACAGTTGTCCAAAAGGCCGGACTGGTGTCTAACAGTCCGGACTGGTGTCTAACAGTCCGGACAGGTGTGAGAATACTTACTTCCTGTTCAGCAGGTGAGCGATCTCAGACTGGACACTCAGGTAGTCCTGAACCATCCGGATGTGCTGCTCGAACACCGCCATGGACTCTCGAGAGTTCGGACAGGGAGCCAAGGGCTGAGGACAAGTACACAACTCAGAGACAAGTACACGACTCTCAGACAAGTACACAACTCTGAGACAAGTACACGACTCTGAGACAAGTACACAACTCTGAGACAAGTACACAACTCAGAGACAAGTACACAACTCAGAGACAAGTACATGAGTAAGAGACAAGTACACAACTGAGAGACAAGTACACGACTCAGAGACAAGCACACAACTTAGAGACAAGTACACGACTTAGAGACAAGTACACGACTCAGACACAAGCACACAACTTAGAGACAAGTACACAACTCTGAGAAAAGTACACGACTCAGACAAGTACACAACTCTGACACAAGTACACGACTCCTAGACAAGTATACAACTTAGAGACAAGTACACAACTTAGAGACAAGTACACTACTCAGAGACAAGTACACGACTCAGACAAGTAGACAACTCAGAGACAAGTAGACAACTTAGAGACAAGTACAAAACTTAGAGACAAGTACAAAACTCAGAGACAAGTACACGACTCAGACAAGTAGACAACTTAGAGACAAGTACACAACTCAAAGACAAGTAGACAACTCAGAGACAAGTAGACAACTTAGAGACAAGTACACAACTCAAAGACAAGTACACAACTCAAAGACAAGCACACAACTCAAAGACAAGTACACAACTCAAAGACAAGTACACGACTCTGAGACAAGTACACAATTCAGAGACAAGTACAAGACTTAGAGACAAGTACATAACTCTGAGACAAGTACAAAACTCTGAGACAAGTACACGACTAAGAGACACGTACACGACTAAGAGACAAGTACTTAACTCTGAGACAAGTACACGACTCTGAGACAAGTACACAAGTCAGAGACAAGTACACAACTAAGAGACACGTACACGACTAAGAGACAAGTACACAACTCAGAGACAAGTACACAACTCAGAGACAAGTACACGACTAAGAGACAAGTACACAGCTCTGAGACAAGTACACGACTAAGAGACACGTACACGACTAAGAGACAAGTACTTAACTCTGAGACAAGTACAAGACTCTGAGACAAGTACACAAGTCAGAGACAAGTACACAACTAAGAGACACGTACACGACTAAGAGACAATGAGACAAGTACACAACTCTGAGACAAGTAAACAAGTCAGAGACAAGTACACAACTAAGAGACACGTACACGACTAAGAGACAAGTACACGACTAAGAGACAAGTACACAACTCAGAGAAAAGTACACAACTCAGAGACACGTACACGACTAAGAGACAAGTACACGACTAAGAGACAAGTACACGACTAAGAGACACGTACACGACTAAGAGACAAGTACTTAACTCTGAGAAAAGTACAAGACTCTGAGACAAGTACACAACTCAGAGACAAGTGCACAACTCAGAGACACGTACACGACTAAGAGACAATGAGACAAGTACACAACTCTGAGACAAGTACACAACCCAGAGACAAGTACACGACTAAGAGACACGTACACGACTAAGAGACAAGTACACAACTCAGAGACAAGCACACAACTCAGAGACAAGCACACAACTCAGAGACAAGCACACAACTTAGAGACAATTACACAAATTAGAGACAAGTACACGACTCTGAGACAAGTGCACCACTCAGAGACAAGTACACGACTCAGAGACAAGTACATGACTAAGAGACACGTACACGACTAAGAGACAAGCACACAACTCAGAGACAAGCACACAACTCTGAGAAAAGTACACAACTCTGAGAAATGTACACAATTCTGAGACAAGTACACAACTAAGAGACACGTACAAGACTAAGAGACAAGTACACAACTCTGAGACAAGTACACGACTAAGAGACACGTACACGACTAAGAGACAAGTACACGACTCAGAAACAAGTACACAACTCTGAGACAAGTACAAAACTCTGAGACAAGTACAAAACTCTGAGACACGTACACGACTAAGAGACACGTACACGACTAAGAGACAAATACACAACTCTGAGACAAGTACACGACTAAGAGACAAGTACACAACTCAGAGACAAGTACACGACAAGTACACGGCTCTGAGACAAGTACACGACGGAATCCAAAGAACCGTTGGGTCCTACAGAAAAGCAGCTCAGAACCTTTTGACCCGACAGGTAATCAGTCTGAGGTGAATCGATGTGAACTCACTTGGAGTTGGTGGTCCAGTTTCTGGTACGCTGAGGGAACCGGACTCTCTGATCCATTGGAACCTGAACAGTGACAGACCCAGAACCTAAATGAGCCAATCAGATCACTGGATTATACTGTAATTTGACTGAACTGAATTATAATCTGACTGAACTGGGTTATAATCTGACTGAACTGGGTTATGATCTGACTGAACTGGATTTTAATCTGATTGAATTGGGTTATAATCTGACTGAAGTGAATTATAATCTGACTGAACTGGATTATAATCTGACTGAACTAAAACATACCCTGACTGAACTGGATAATAATCTGACTGAACTGGGTTATAATCTGACTGAACTGGATAATAATCTCACTGAACTGGATTATAATCTGACTGAACTGGATTATAATCTGATTTACCTGTATTATATTAATTGAACTAAATTATGAAAATCAGAATAACATTCATTAAATTATGATTAAAATGATAAAACCAGTTGTTTGTTGTGCTTCCAACAAATGTCTCACCTGTGGAACTGAAGGTCATTCTCAGCTCTGATTGGCCGCAGGTGTTGACAGAGCTGCTGGAGTGGGCGTGGCTTTGACTGTTCACACTGGATGTCCTGGACAGACTTGGCCGCCATGCAGCGCTCTGCTGCAGAACATCAGAAAGTTCAAGAGTCAGCAGCCTGTGTACTGTTGTGTGTACTGTTGTGTGTACTACTGTGTGTACTGTTGTGTGCACCACTGTGTGTACTGTTGTGTACTCTTTGTGTACTGTTACCTTGGAGGGTCTGACCTGCAGGGAGATTCTGGACTCAGAGTCCTGCAGAGTTTCCTCGCTGTCAGCTGAGGTTCTGTGTTGTGTGTCGTCRTCATGGTAACCGTCTATGGTGCCTTCAGCTGCAGATGGAACAACAAAGTGATGAGTCAGATGTAGCAGACAGAACAAGTTCTCCTGCTGCTCACAAAGTTTAACATTTATTTAGTCAACAATCTGAGTTTGACGGATTATGTCTGTTCAGTTGAGGGGACCACCTGTAGAGAGTTAGTTACTTGATGGGAGTAAGTTATCTGTCTTTAAAATGTTCATAAGTTGGCATAAGTTGTCTAGTGTGACAGAGGCTTAAGGGAGTTAGTTATCCAAGGAGAGTTAGTCACCCAAGGAGAGTAAGTCATCCAAGCAGAGTTAGACACCCAAGCAGAGTTAGACACCAAAGCAGAGTTAGACACCCAAGGGGAGTTAGTAACCCAAGGGGAGTTAGTCACCCAAGCGGARTTAGACACCCAAGAGGAGTTAGTCACCCAGAGTTAGACACCAAAGCAGAGTTAGTCACCCAAGCGGAGTTAGTCACCCAAGCAGAGTTAGTCACCCAAGCAAAGTTAGTCACCCAAGCAAAGTTAGTCACCCAAGCTGAGTTAGACACCCAAGTGGAGTTACATACCTAAGGGGAGTTTGTCACCCAAGCAGAGTTAGACACCAAAGCAGAGTTAGTCACCCAAGTGGAGTTAGTCACCCAAGGGGAGAGTCACCCAAGCATAGTTAGACACCCAAGCGGAGTTAGTCATCCAAGCGGAGTTAGTCACCCAAGCGGAGTTAGACACCAAACAGAGTTAGTCACCCTAGCGGAGTTAGACACCCAAGGGGAGTTAGTCACCAAAGCTGAGTTAGACACCCAAGGGGAGTTAGTCACCCAAGCAGAGTTAGACACCCAATCGGAGTTAGACACCCAAGGGGAGTTAGTCACCCAAGCAGAGTTAGACACCAAAGCAGAGTTAGTCACCCAAGTGGAGTTAGACACCCAAGCGGAGTTAGTCACCCAAGCGGAGTTAGTCACCCAAGCAGAGTTAGACACCCAAGCAGAGTTAGACACCAAAGCAGCGTTAGTCACCCAAGGGGAGTTAGTCACCAAGCGGAGTTAGACACCAAAGCAGAGTTAGACACCCAAGCGGAGTTAGACACCCAAGGGGAGTTAGTCACCAAAGCAGAGTTAGACACCCAAGCAGAGTTAGACACCAAAGCAGAGTTAGACACCCAAGCAGAGTTAGACACCCAAGCAGAGTTAGACACCCAAGGGGAGTTAGTCACCAAAGCAGAGTTAGTCACCCAAGCGGAGCTAGACACCCAAGGGGAGTTAGTCACCCAAGCAGAGTTAGACACCCAATCGGAGTTAGACACCCAAGGGGAGTTAGTCACCCAAGCAGAGTTAGACACCAAAGCAGATTTAGTCACCCAAGCGGAGCTAGTCACCCAAGGGGAGTTAGACTCCCAAGCAGAGTTAGTCACCCAAGCAGAGTTAGTCACATAATGGTTGTTAGACTCCCAAAAAGAGTTGGTAACATGACAGGAGCTTGTTATCCAAGGAGGATTAGTCACCCGTAAGTTATGTACTTGATGGGAATTGGTTACCTGAGCTTGTTGATGACGAAGACCCACTTCTGTTGGATGAAGACTGATGAGAAAGACTGAGAGGTTCATCAGAGCCTGGAAAATACTGGAATACACACACACACACACACACACACACACACACGTTTGTTTCTCGACCCCGTGGGGACCTTCCATTGATTTCCATTCATGTTTTTAAGACTTTATATCCTAACCCTGACCATATACTCTAAAATTAACCTCACAGATCTTACCTGACCCTAAAACTAACCTAAACCTTGGTCCTAAACCTAACCCCACACCTGGAACATGTATTTGGACCCGTGGGGACCTGGCAATGGTAAAAAAAATACAAGTACACAGATCCCCAACTCAGTTTGTTTCATGTCTGGATGTGAGGCATTTAGGAACATCAGGTTAAAAAGGTTTTGTTTTACTTTAAGTTTATTGTTTTAGTTTGAAGATCTGTTTACGGGCGTGGCAGCAGATGTGGGCAGGACAGTACCTTCATCAGGTGGCTCATGGTGTCTCGGACCTCCATCATGGACGGCCTCCGGCTAGGTTCTTTGTCCCAGCAGCGGGTCATCAGTGTCTCAATGGGTTCTGGAAGGTCCTTGATCAAAGGAGGACGAGTACCTGTGATGTGAGACAGTGGGACAGTGTGAGGACGAAGCCGCAGGACAGACTCCGAGACACGATATGACCTGAGAACCAGCGGTGGGGCCAGAGCTCGGACCCGCCTTACCTCTGTGCACGGCCCACATGATGCAGAACGCCGAGCCGCCGATCTCCTCAAAGGGCTTCCTGCGAGTAATGACCTCCCACAGGATGATGCTCCAGCTGAAAACGTCACACTTCTCACTGTAGTTACTGCCTGGAGGTTAGAACACGACAGGAAGTGAAAACTTCAGGTGAGATGAAACAAGCTGTCAGCAATAGGGCTGGGTAAAAAAATCAATTTAATCCATCTTGGATCAATTTCATTTATATTTGGGAAAGTCAATTCACAGGGCATAAGATCAATTCTTCCTCGTGGCGTCTTGTGCGCGTCTGGAACGCGTTTCTATATTTTGTCACTCCTAGCTTGTCGTATATTTACATCTAGTTGACATTCAGTGCTTTCGATAAATTGTCTGGAGCAAAACAAAATAAACTAAGGAATCACTCACGTTATCAGCCGATTCTCAGCAGAACTTCAAGACAACAGGGACCATGGTGACTTTTGTTTGTAAAGATGTGCGCTCCTACGTGGTAGTGAAAACGAAGCAAGCTTCAACGAGCGGCTCGTTAGGCACTTGAACCAAACAACTGTATGTAAACATCTGACTGAAACTGTTCTCAGCATGTAAAAATGTGTGAAAGACCACATTCTAACAGAATCGTTTAGTTTTGCTACGAATATTACTATTTTAAACTTTGAGAAACGAAATGTTACAGATATATTGTTTGTTTTAATAAAGTATAAGTAATAGGTTTTAATAAGTTATATTGAACATAACAGAAGCTAACAGAAACATTACAAATATACAGTTTTCATACACTCAAAAGGAGTGAGCAAAAGTATATTTATATTAGCCCACCTCTTCTCCTGCAACCTTATTCCATCACTTCTTATTTATCAAGAAAATTATTAATTTCTTAAAAATGAATTCCTGCAACAACACTGTCACCTGCAATTCCTTTTTAATTTAAACGTTTTAATTTGTGACAGTTTTCCTTCAAGATTAAACTGTTTAATTTCAAAGTTTGTCCTTATGGTGACAAAAAAAATAGTGAAATTGTATTTTGCAACACAAGTGAACCATTTTCATTATTTAAGAGCAGATCGAATCGAATTGTGATTGATCGATTCAAAGTCTTATGAATCGAATCGAATCATGATTAATCGATTCAGAACCTTATGAATCGAATCGAATCGTGATTAATAGATTCAAAGCCTTATTGAATCAAATCATGATTAATTGATTCAAAGCCTTATGAATCGAATCGAATCATGATTAATCGATTCAGAACCTTATGAATCGAAATCAAATTGAATCAAATCGTGATTTATCGATACAGAGCCTTATGAATCGAAATCAAATTGAATCGTGATTAATCAATTCAGAGCCTTATGAATCAAATCGAATCATGATTAATTGATTCAAAACCTTATGAATCGAATCGAATCATGATGAATCGATTCAGAACCTTATGAATCAAAATGAAATTGAATCAAATCGTGATTTATCGATACAGGGCCTCATGAATCAATATCAAATCAAATCGTGATTAATCGATTCAGAGCCTTATGAATCGAATCGAATTGTGATTAATCGATTCAAAGCCTTATGAATCGAATCGAATCGTGATTAATAGATTCAAAGCCTTATCAAATCAAATCATGATTAATCGATTCAGAGCCTTATGAATCAAAATCAAATTGAATCGTGATTAATCAATTCAAAGCTTAATGAATCGCATCGAATCGTGATTAATCGATTCAGTGTCTTATGAATCGAAATCGAATCAATCTAGAGAACTGGATGATACCCAGCCCTAGTCAGCAAACACCTGAAGCTCAGGAGCAGCACTGACCTTCAAACACCTCCGGAGCCATCCAGGCTGCGCTGCCTTTGTTGTTGGTCATGTAGGTGTGGATGTCGCAAGCTGTCCCAAAGTCGCAGATCTTCAGCACGGTTCCACGAGCTACGAGAAGCAAGCTAAAGCAACCAGAGACACAAAAACTATCATCTTAAGACACAAACTCTGACCTACAACATAAAACTCTATGTTCTAACACTACGACCTGAAACCAGTGAGCCCGACTAACGAGCTGCAGGTAGAGCAACACAACTCTTACTTTGGCGGTTTGAGGTCTCGGTGGATCAGAGCCTTGGGCTTCATGGCGTGCAGATAAGCCACGCCGTCGGCGCACTGCAGACACCAGCTCATGGCGTGTGCAGATGTGTAGTGGGGCAGTGGGTCGGCGCTGTGAAGGACTGACACACAAACAGGAGGGTGAGACACAGAGACAGTCCCTCTAATGGACCATGTCCAACATGAGGACATGAGGACTAGGGCTGCAACTAACGAATATTTTAATAATCGATTAATCTGCCGATTGTTTTTTCRATTAATCAATTAATCGCCAAATCATTAAAATGCTTAATTACTTGAATAGATATAGATGTAGTTATAAATGTAGATATAAATTAATTTCATTCCTATATAAATTAGGGATGCAAGTTATTGATTAATCAATTAATCTGAAGTTGATTTATCTTATAAATTGACTAACAATTAATTGATAAGCAGCCATTTTCTTAAAAAATATAGTTTTCTCTTGTATCAAGCGGGTCTTTTCATAACATGAAGGATTTTGTTTTATAATCTCCTGAATTAAAAAACGGAAGTACATTATACAGCGGATAAAATAAGTATTGAACACGTCAACATTTTTCTCAGTAAATATATTACTAGAGGTGCTAATGACATGAAATTTTCACCAGATGT